ATCCCTTGGGGGATGTCGGAAAGCCGGTTTTGGCCCAATCCCACAGGCCAGGCTGAGGGACCCCACTGGTGCACGAATTCATCCACCAGGCCTCTAGTATGCATATAAGATCTTTGTTTAATCTCTTCCCGTCCCCAACCCCCCTTCCCTCTGAGAATCGTCAGTCTGTTCCATTTCCATGCCTCTGATTCTATTTTATTTACCAGTTTATTCTGTTCATTAGATTTCTTTTTAAAAATATATATTTTTATTTATTTCAGAGTGGAAGGGAGAGGGAGAGAGAAATAGAAACATCAATGATAAGAGAGAATCATTGATTGGCTGCTTCCTGTAGGGAATGGAGCTCAAACCCGGGCATGTGCCTTTGACCAGCATCAAACCCGGGACCCTTCTGTCCATAGGCCAATGCTTTATCCACTGAACCAAACCAGTTAGGGCTTCATTAGATTTCTTATTCATTTATTTTGATTTTTAGATTAAATTGTCAATAGGTATATATTTGTTGCCATTTTGTTGTTCATATTTTTGATCTTTTTCTTCTTCTTCCTCTTCTTAAAGAATACCCTTCAACATTTCATATAATACTGGTTTGGTGGTGATAACCTCCTTTAGCTTTTTCTTGTCCATGAAGCTCTTTATCTGACCTTCAATTCTAAATGATAGCTTTGCTGGGTAGAATTATCTTGATTGTAGGTCCTTGGTATTCATCACTTTATTTTTTGCCACTCCCTTCTGGCCTACATAGCTTCTGTTGAGAAATGAGCTGACAGTCCTATGGGCATTCCCTTGTAGGTAAGTAACTGCTTTTCTTTTGCTGCTTTTAAGATTCTCTTTGTCTTTAGTCCTTGGCATTTTAATTATAATGTGTCTTGGTGTGGTCCTCTTTGGGTTCCTCTTATTTGGGACTCTGTGCTTCCCGTACTTGTAAGTTATTTCTTTTACCAGGTAGGGGAAGTTTTCTGTCATTATTTCTTCAAATAGGTTTTCAGTATCTTGCTCTCTCTCTTATTCTGGCACCCCCCTAATGTGAAAGTTGGTATGCTTGAAGTTGCTTGCCCCAGAGGCTCCTTCCACTATCTTCATATTTCTTTATTCTTTTTTCTTTTTGCTCTTCTGGTTGGGTGTTTTTTTCTTCCTCACATGTCAAATTGTTGATTTGATTCTCAGAATCCTCTCTCCTACTGTTGAATCCCTGTACATTATTCTTTATTTTAGTCAGTGTATGCTTAATTTCTGACTGGTCCTTTTCCTTTTCCTTTTTTTTTTTTTTTTTTTTGAATTCTCACTAAGATCTTTGAAAGTCTCACTAAGTCCCTTGGAGGTTTCTAGAAGATTCTTGAGTAACCTTATAACCATGGTTTTGAACTCTATATCCAGTAGTTTGATTTTTTCCATTTCTGTTATTTGTGACATGTTTCTTTGTCTCCGCATTTTGGCTGCTTCCCTGTGTTTGTTTCTATGTATTGGGTTGAGTTGCTATGTCGTCTTGAGTTGGTAGAGTGGCCTTGTGTAGTGGGTGTCCTATAGGGCCCAGTGGCTCAGCCTCTCCATTAACCTGAGCTGGGAACTCTAGGTGCACCCCTTTGTGGGCTTGTGAGTCCAGTCTTGTTGTAGTTGAGACTTGATTGCTGTTGGTTTTACTGGGAGGAATTGACCTCTAGACCAATTGGCTGTGAGGACCAGCTGTGACTACAGTGGGAGAGTTGCTATGCAGGAAACACCCCTATGGAGCAGGACTTGCTTCACTGGGCTTTGATACTCACTGAATCTGCCCCTTGAGTGTGTCACTTATGGATGTGTAGAGTTGTAATCTGGTATGGTCTGACACTGACCACTGGGTACACTGACTCTTGGGTCTCCAAGGAGGTGCAAAGTCAGCCACTGCCTGGGGCCACCCAGCAGGAGCTACAGAGAGATCTGCAGATTCCTCCTCTTTGTATTGGGTTTGGAAGTGCCCAGACAAGGCCCACCTGTGAAGCAAGACAGGCTTATGCTGATGCTGGGTCTTGGGCCTTTTATTGGCAGGTTTGGGGTTCCCTGACCCAGCTGCAGATTGTTGGAGATATTTTAGCCTGAGCAAGGACAGGCCATTCATATGCAAAAGCTGCTGCAGGCAGCTTGGGTGGGTTGTAAATTGGATGAGGCTAGGTCTTAGGGGATCACCAGGATGGAGCAAACATAAGTGGCTGCCAGTCAGTCCTTCGACTGGGGAGGTCCCAGCATAGGAACAATGATCCCTGTGAGCACCTCCATCTGGAAGAAAGCTGCCCCCGAGTTCCTGCCCTGATGCCGGACAATGCAGTTCCTCCTCATAAGTGTCTGTGTTCCCCAAAGCCTCAGCCTGGTGCTGGAATTCAGAGGAAGCAGGACCTTGTAAGTTCAGTTCATGGTGCTAGACTTTTAAGAGAACATCTGGGTCTTTGGCAGCCTCTGTGTCACTGAGCCCCAGTCTGCACTGTTTTTTACAGCCTGTAGTTTTGGAGACTTCTCTTCCCAGCTCTGGGACCCTGGGCTGGGCTTGTGGTGTGGGGCTGGCACTCCTTGCTTCTCCAGTTGGTCTCTGCAGAGATAATCTCCCTCCCGATTAAGAAAGCAGCACATGTGGGTGCCAGACCAGCCTGTTCTGCACCTGTGTACCTCCCACCAGTCTCCGTGTGCTTTCTTCTTTACTTCTCTAGTTGTAGGACTTCCATTCAGCCAGCTTTCCAGTGGATCTGGATGATGGTTGTTCTGTAATTTTGTAATTTTGATGTGGTTGTGGGAGGCAGCGAGTACAGATGGTTACCTATGCCGTCATCTTCCCTTCCTGCATATTGTTAAAAAAACAAAAACAAAAAAACAAAAAACAACTAAATACTAGTAGTCAACCCAAAGTCATTTAGCTTTTACCACCAGCAGAGACAAACTAGAATTGCTTAATCCTAAGTACAACTTCCTGGAGAGGGAATCTGATTGGGAAAGCTTTAGTTTAATATCCAAATCTAGCCCAATTAGTTGTGGCTTATGACACCAGGTCACTGAGTAACACATAGGTACCATGACCAATCTTTGGATGGGGTAGAATGTTTATTCTCAGAAGAACCTCACAATGCAGATAAAAGTTGAAATACAGTTGGAAATCATTGCCCTAGTGTATTATCAGTACAATTAAATAGATTATCAGTATACTCTCAAAGGATTTGACTATTACAGTCAGTTTATAAAATTGTTCCCTTAAACTGTTATAGCTATTAAAGATTCTTCTATATGGTACTTAAATTAATAATATAAAGGTAATATATTGATGTGATTTTGGGCGTGTCTGCTTTGGTGGTTTAAAGTGAGTCCTTTTCTCGGAAAAGGAGCTGCTCTGGGTGTTGCCTTTCCAGCAGAATTTGAGTAATACTAGTAAGTGTTTGTGTTGAGAACCAAAACCTTCCATATCCACACCTGCTTATGATTTATAATAATGTGACTTTGTTATCCAGATGCTTCATTAAGGTGATTTTATTATTCCACAGTCTTCATCAACCTGATTTGACTGTTTCAGAAAATTCTTGCCTAGAAAGATAAAGTTGCTAATAACTTTATTTTTTATTTTACAAATTTCCTGAAGATCCATTTAAACCAATATTACATTATTCAAATCAAAGCAGCATCAAACAGCTGTTAACTCTTCAAGAATTGCTTTGAGACCCTTTGTTCAAACTTTCTCCTCTTTGTATGTACCCATGACAAACTATTAGGTCACAAATGTGCCAAATCACAGTCAAGCCCCCTTCTCACACCAAATGATCAACATTAAATCAGATTTCCCAAATCTTAAACATATCTTATCTTTGTCTTTCTTCTTCTGAAACATCACCAAGATTCTTGTCAAGGTGGCAGCCTCACTCACTGTGGTAAACAATAAACTCAAGTTTGCTTTATCAACAGGCTATTTTGGTGGTGATTTTAGGGAGTAAAGTACATATAAGAGTCACTTCTTATTCCTCCCACAATTGATGCTTTTTGCATAAATGGTGACCCATAGTTTGGAACATAGGCCTAATAATAGTCCAAAAAAATCTCAATTAACTCACTATTTTTTTCTTTTTCTTTCAACCTGGCACATGATATTTATAGCCAGAGAATGTCATTGTGGCTCAGTCATAATTATTGTTTTTCAAATTAGTGAATCTGGAAATGTATTATGGTTTCAGGAATAAGTAAGTAAACTATGTATCCTAGCCAAGCAGCCTACATCAACCAAGAACGATTTTTGAAAAAAAGCTGTATAGATTTTATGTAAATTTGGTATTTATGAGCACCAAACTTTTAGCACTGACATCTGCCTGAGAAGAAACTGCATTTACAGCAGTGGCAGAAATGAAGTTCACTGTGAACTAGTTTTGGATACCATATGCTTTAACATTCTGAAGAGGAGGGGAACAAGGCATTTTAAAAACAGTTTTTTCTTGCGCTCACTGTGGATGATGTTGCATGATAACATTGTGACATCATCACTTACGCTGTTTTATTTACTGTTGCACCAATAGAGCATCAAGGCGTGCAATAGCACCTTGGATGTATGTGGCGCTTTCCTTCTGTGGAACTTAAGGCGCTTCACAGGCATTTTCTTTCTAAACCTCACATCTCTCTAAGGTATTGCCAAACTGGAGACAAATTTCACAGTTTAATCATGTGGAACACATTGGTAAATATAGATGTGCCTTTTAGAAAGTTGCTTCAAAGTGTACTTTGCAGCTCACACGACGTTTCTCAGGGTGTAAACCAGTGGTGTAATGTAAAGCTCTTGGCCCTCCCCCACATGAGAGGGGAGGATAGATGTGTTTGGCAGCACACAGTAGTGCAGGAGGAAGGGAGGGTCCTGTGGAAAAGGCAGGCTATTTTTTTATGTGCCCTCCCCCGTCATTTCTCTACACAGGGGTGCCTCCTTTTCCTCCATTTCATTTTTGTTTTCTTTCCAGCATCAAAAAAGAAAACTAATTTATAAAATTTAACTTGTAATTAATAGTCTGGTTTAATTTTCAGGGCAGAACACAAAAGTCCATTTTACTCACAAGTCCTGTTGATTATCATCCTGGCCATGGAATCAGTTTTTACAGTTGTAAGTGAAAATGGGTTCTTATGAAGGGTGAATGTGGCAACATTGCAGACATGTCTGTTTCTTTCTCTCATCTTTCCAAATCCACTGTGAGATAGAATGAGTTGTTTTTCCAGAATACTTCTGCCTCTCCCGCCTCATCTTTTCTTTCCTAAACCCCCATACCTCCCAGTTCCCTAGAAAAGATCTCTTGGTATGCAACAGCGACCTGATGTGAGTCCTGGTTGTATCCTGTAGTAGTTGTGTGAACCCTGAGTGGTTAAACCTCCCTGAGGCTGATTCCCCATTTGTAATTTATATATAATACCTATCTCACAGAGTTGTTGTGAAGATTAAATAAGATAATGAACATGAACGAGCTGCAGTGCTATCTAGCAGAGAAAAATAAGGCCAACTAAAAACATTCTGACTGTCCAGCTTTCTGGGGCTGATTGGCTTTACTCTTCTGGGTATGATCCAAACCATTTTTTTAGAGTGAAAAAGGGAACTCCAGGACAACAACAGATACTGGGACTGCCCTAAGCAAACCAGGATGTATGATTAATCTCTACATAGGGAAGCTTTCAGACGGGCGGTACCTGTGCTTACTTGTACATGTTATTATGGATAGGAATGCCTACATTTTATGAATACGAATATAATTTATAGCCCACTTATAAGTTGAACCTGAATCACAACCCTTTGTATAGCTTGTAGTATTTACCAAAATTGCTACCTGGACAACAGGTGGCACATAAGACCATTTCAAGTACTATACACAAACATCAATTTTTTTAACCTATCATCAAATCTATAATTTTGGAAGTTAAATTATTATTTTAAAATAAATTGATTTAGATCAAATTATGAATTGACTTAGAGAAAATAAGTCAGTAAATTATACTACATTTGCATTACAGATACAGTAAGGTTGGCTTGGAACTACTGATATGTAGGAAGCCCTTCTGGATAGGATACAGCCAGTAGAATGAAGAATAATTTACTCAGTATTTGAATAAACAGTTTTATAATATATCACCTTTCATTCCAGGAAAAGTGCTTTGCAAGAGTTGGAGAAAAGATCAATACCCAACTGTGGCCCAAGTGAGGGGAGTAGAATGGAGTAATTGCAGCTGAAGGTTAACTTTGGACACATTTCCTGGTAAGTCCTGAGCCTCACCATCATTTTTGTACATTATTAATGTAAATGATGTATGAAGAATTGATAAAACTTGGCAAAATGTAATACGTACGCTGCTTTAATCTTTGTGTGGATATTTTATTCGTGTTTATCCTTTGAAATTTAGGATGGGACTTAATTGGTCTTGTTTTGAGAATTTCAGAAAGACTCCTCACACTCTTTGAGTAGTTCATTTAATACCCTTGTACCTGACCCTAATCCCATCTAGTTTAAGTTCAGTTGCCAAAAAAACAAACCAGAAAAATTGGGAAGATATTATCATTCTGCTTCTTGATACTTGTTACAAAGCCATTGATAGCAGTGGACTTCCTAATCCTCACCTTACTTTTTTAAAATTTTTATTTATTTTTATTTTTTTAATTAAATCTTTATTGTTCAGATTATTACATTTGTTCCTCTTTTTTCCCCCCCATAACTCCCCTCCTCCCAGTTCCCGCCCCACCCTCCGCCCTCACTCCCCACCCACTGTCCTCATCCATAGGTGCACGATTTTTGTCCAGTCTCTTCCCGCATCTCCCACACCCCTTTCCCCCCCAAGAATAGTCAGTCCATTCCTTTCTGTGTCCCTGATTCTATTATAATCATCAGTTCATTCATTCACTTGATTCTTAGATTCACTTGTTGATAGATGCATATATGTTGTTCATAATTTGTATCTTTACCTTTTTCTTCTTCTTCCTCTTCTTAAAGGATACCTTTCAGCATTTCATATAATACTGGTTTGGTGGTGATGAACTCCTTTAGCTTTTCCTTATCTGTGAAGCTCTTTATCTGACCTTCAATTCTGAATGATAGCTTTGCTGGATAAAGTAATCTTGGTTGTAGGTTCTTGGTATTCATCACTTTGAATATTTCTTGCCACTCCCTTCTGGCCTGCAAAGTTTCTGTTGAGAAATCCGCTGACAGTCGTATGGGTATTCCCTTGTAGGTAACTGAGTTTCTTTCTCTTGCTGCTTTTAAGATTCTCTCTTTGTCTTTTGCTCTTGGCATTTTAATTATGATGTGTCTTGGTGTGGTCCTCTTTGGATTCCTTTTGTTTGGGGTTCTCTGCGCTTCCTGGAGTTGTAAGTCTATTTCTTTCACCAGGAAGGGGAAGTTTTCTGTCATTATTTGTTCAAATAGGTTTTCAATATCTTGGTCTCTCTCATCTTCTGGCACCCCATAATTCTGATGTTGATATGCTTGAAGCTGTCCCAGAGGCTCCTTACACTATCTTCGTATTTTCAGATTCTTTTTTCATTTTGCTTTTCTGGTTGGGTGTTTTTTGCTTCTTCGCATTTCAAATCTTTGATTTGATTCTTGCGCTCCTCTGGTCTGCTGTTGGGAGTCTGTATAATATTCTTTATTTCAGTCAGTGTATGCTTAATTTCTAGTTGGTTCTTTATCACAACATTGAGGGTCTCATTAGATTTCTTGAGGATCTCACTACATTTATCGGCAGTTTCTAGAAAATTATTGAAAGACCTTAAAAGTGTGGTTTTGAGCTCTATATCTTCCATTTCTGACATTTGCGTCCGGTTTCTTTGTCTCCGCATTTTTTTATGTTTTCTTGGTGCACCCCCTAGTGGTCTTTGTGGGCAATCTTGTTGTAGTTAAGCCTTGATTGTTGTAGGTGATACTAGGGGGGATTTGACCTCCAGGCCAACTGGCTGTGAGAATCAGCTGTGTCTGCAGTGAGAGAACTTCTGTCCTCTAGGGAGGTGCTAATCTAGCCTTTGCCTGAACTATCCGGCAAATGCCTCTGTGCAGGGCTTGGGCGGGGCGGATCCCAGGGGATCTACAGGGCGGGTGGAGCGAGCAGTTATGGCTGCTCTCAGTCCTGTCCCCAGGGGCTCTGTCTCTCAGAGTCCCAGCAACCGCTGCAAATCTCAGAGAGAAAGCTGCCTTCAAGTTCCGACCGAAGCCAGACAGTCCCGCTTCTCCCATTTGAGTCTGGGTCCCTAGAGACTCGCCCGGGTCTGGAGCTCAGAGCCTGAGACTCCCTCCCGATTGAAACAGACAACCGCGCCCTCAGCTGCCATCCCGCTCCGCATGCACTCTGCACCTTAGTATTTGACTTCAGCACTGCGCCTCCTCTGAGTCGCGGTATGCTGTTCTCTTTCCTCCTAGTTGTAGAACTTCCACTCAGCCAGCCTTCCTGTGGTTCTGGATGATGTCCGTTCCGTCTTTTAGTTGTATTTTTTTTTTTTTTTTATTGCTTAAAGTATTACAAAGGGTATTACATATGTGTCCATTTTATCCCCCCGCCCTAGACAGTCCCCTAGCCTCCCCTATCCTCCAATGTCTTATGTCCACTGGTTATGCTTATATGCATGCATACAAGTCCTTTAGTTGATCTCTTACCCCCCTACCTCCTGCTCCGCAACCCTCCCCGGCCTTCCTGCTGCAGTTTGACAATCTGTTTGAGGCAGCTCTGCCTCTGTATCTATTATTGTTCAAAAGTTTATAATGGTCTCTATTATCCATGAATGAGTGAGATCATGTGGTATTTTTCCTTCATTGACTGGCTTATTTCACTTAGCATAATGCTCTCCAGTTCCATCCATGACGTTGCAAATGGTAAGAGTTCCTTCCTTTTTAGAGCAGCATAGTATTCCATCGTGTAGATGTACCACAGTTTTCTGATCCATTCATCTACTGATGGGCACTTAGGCTGTTTCCAGATCTTAGCTATGGTGAATTGTGCTGCTATGAACATAGGGGTGCATATATCCTTTCTGATTGGTGTTTCTGGTTTCTTGGGATATATTCCTAGAAGTGGGATCACAGGGTCAAATGGGAGTTCCATTTTCAGTTTTTTAAGGAAACTCCATACTGTCTTCCATAGTGGCTGCACCAGTCTGCATTCCCACCAGCAGTGCACAAGTGTTCCTTTTTCTCCACATCCTCTCCAGCACTTGTCGTTTGTTGATTTGTTGATGATAGCCAATCTGACAGGTGTGAGATGGTACCTCATTGTTTTGATTTGCATCTCTCGGATGATTAGTGACTTTGAGCATGTTTTCATATGTCTCTTGGCTTTCTGAATGTCCTCTTTTGAAAGGTGTCTATTTAGGTCCTTTGCCCATTTTTTGATTGGATTGTTTATCTTCCTTTTGTTAAGTTGTATGAGTTCCCTATACATTTTGGAGATTAGGCCCTTATCAGATATGACATTGGCAAATATGTTTTCCCACACAGTGGGTTTTCTCGTTGTTTTGTTGATGGTTTCTTTTGCTGTGCAGAAGCTTTTTATTTTGATGTAGTCCCATTTGTTCATTTTCTCTTTCGTTTCAAGTGCCCTAGGAGCTGTATCAATGAAGAAATTGCTTCGGCATATGTCTGAGATTTTGTTGCCTTTGGATTCTTCTAGAATTGTTATGGTTTCCTGTCGTACATTTAAGTCCTTTATCCATTTTGAGTTTATTTTTGTGTATGGTGTAAGTTGGTGGTCTAGTTTCATTTTCTTGCATATATCTGTCCAATTTTCCCAGCACCATTTATTGAAGAGACTATCTTGGCTCCATTGTATGTACTTGCCTCCTTTGTCAAATATTAATTGAGCATATTGGTTCGGGCCGATTTCTGGGTTCTCTATTCTATTCCATTGATCTATATGCCTATTCTTGTGCCAGTACCAGGCAGTTTTGAGAACAGTGGCTTTGTAATACATCTTGATATCTGGTATTGAGATCCCACCTACTTTGGTCTTTTTCAGGATTGCTGCAGCTATTCGGGGTCTTTTTTTATTCCAGATGAATTTTTGGAGAGTTCGTTCTAGATCTCTGAAGTATGCCGTTGGTATTTTAATGGGAAGTGCGTTGAATTTATAGATTGCTTTGGGTAGTATGGACATTTTAATGATGTTGATTCTACCAATCCATGAACACGGTATGTTCTTCCATCTGTTTATGTCTTCCTCTATATCTTTTTTCAACGTCCTGTAGTTTTCTGAGTAGAGGTCTTTTACCTCTTTAGTTAAGTTTATTCCTAGGTAGCTTAATTTTTTTGGTGCGATGGTAAACGGGATTGTTTTTATAATCTCTCTTTCTGAAAGTTCACTATTGGTGTATAGAAATGCCTCGGATTTCTTGGGGTTAATTTTGTATCCTGCTACATTGCCAAATTCATGTATTAAGTCCAGTAGCTTTTGGATGGAGTCTCTAGGGTTTTGTATGTATAATATCATGTTGTCTGCAAATAAGGACAGTTTTACTTCCTCTTTTCCAATTTGGATGCCTTTTATTTCTTCTTCTTGCCGAATTGCAATGGCTAGCACTTCCAGTACTATGTTGAACAGGAGTGGTGAGAGGGGGCATCCCTGTCTTGTTCCTGTTCTTAGGGGAAATGGTGTTAGTTTTTGTCCATTGAGTATGATGTTGGCTGTGGGCCTGTCATATATGGCTTTTATTATGTTGAGGTATGATCCTTCTACTCCCACCTTGCTGAGAGCTTTTATCAAAAATGGGTGTTGAATTTTGTCAAATGCTTTTTCTGCATCAATTGATATGACCATGTGGTTTTTTTCTTTCAATTTGTTTATGTGATGTATCACGTTTATTGATTTGCGGATATTGTACCATCCTTGCATCCCTGGGATAAATCCTACTTGGTCATGGTGTATGATCTTTCTGATGTACTGCTGGATCCGATTTGCTAAGATTTTGTTGAGGATTTTGGCATCTATGTTCATGAGGGATATTGGCCTGTAATTCTCTTTCATTGTGTTGTCTTTACCTGGTTTTGGTATTAGGGTGATGCTGGCTTCATAGAATGAGCTTGGAAGTGTTCCTTCCTCTTGAATTTTTTGTAGTAGTCTGAGGAGGATAGGTTTTAGTTCTTCCTTGAATGTTTGGTAAAACTCCCCTGTGAAGCCGTCTGGTCCTGGGCTTTTGTTTGCTGGAAGCTTTTTGATGACTGCTTCAATTTCTTCCATAGTTATTGGCCTGTTGAGATTTTTAGATTCTTCCTGATTGAGTTTT